TTTTTTGGCACATACCTGGGTTTGGAACTATGGCTCTAATTGTTCCTCAACTCTTGAAACTAGGCAATACAGTTAAGCTACACAACTGTGCAATGCAACCTTAATGCTGCCCTCTTTGAGCAGGCCCCAATACCCTCATGACACACATACTGTCACAATGTTCTTGCAGATACTACAGAACATTAAATAAATAGGGAACATGAGCACTGTAGGACACCTAACACCTTTAATTTGGCAAGGCAAAACTTGTGTTTAGGTCAGGTGTACTCAACAGAAGCCACTTACCCCTACTCTACACTCAGGGTGGCTACTCAACAGAAAAGCTCACACTTGTTAAATTGTATAACCTCTTCATCCCCTTTTACAATTCTTCACCATTCCCATCTTTGATGTCCCATGGTAGTTTGTTAGCCTTTGCGTCACCCTTACTGAACCATTCCCAGTGGCTATTACCAACTCCAGAAGGGCAAAATTAAGGTTTCCTGGTTTTCAGAGCTCCAAGTTTAACTAAAGTCGACATTTTGGAATGATGAAATATCTCTAGGCAATCTCAAATCTGCGTTAACTAAGTTTTTGTCGGTGAATACAGACGCAGGACTCTTCCCTATCAACTCTGCCCTAACTCTAATCTTAGAAGTCTTCTTGCTTCTTTCCAAACAATGTTGAAAAATGAGGCGTTTTTCTCATGAAGACAAATGTTTAAATCAAAAGCAATTAAAACTAGGGTTTTGGAGACACTGATTTTATCATCCATTCCCTCTCAAAAACTGCCATATGTACAGAGGTACACACTACACAAGTATGTTTAATTTCATTTCCCAGTGGACACACATGGAAAACTAACCACTGCTGGAAAGCTCAGCAGTCAGGCCAAGCACTGATTTACTATAGAGACTAAATCACAGCACCCTCTCGCCCATAAAAGTGATCCTCTCCAGGACTGAGGGAAGTTGGCAAGGCACTGAGGGAATACCATGCAGTCAATATTGTTCTTGTTCTGTGGATAGGCTCAGGATGTCACCCTTTACAGCTTTCAATCCGGCACCTTTCACAAGCATTTAATACACTGACAGAATGAGTTCTGAGTCTCACAAATCTAGTACAAGTACCTCAGTTTCACTTCACTTGTTATATCTCGTTTACAGAACAGTCAGACTTCAAATATTGTAGAAACAGGCAGAGCATGGAGAAGGGCTGTTTTCAAGTATTCCCAATGATCTGGATGAAGCTTTCATTGGCTAGATTATAAAAGCAAATACTCTCCTAATCAAACCCATGACGAGGACCATCTTCCTCTAGTAAGTTCCTTCCATTAAGGTTTTGAAATTAGAAATACAGCCTGCATCTACAGCTGCATGAATGTGAAAGCATTTTGATGGGTTGCAAAATACTCTTCACTTGGAGTAAATTATTAATTTTTTCCTTGGAACTACTCACAGGTTGTATGCATTGTATTACATTACAGATACATCTGTCTTTTCTAATCATGCTCTTAAACAGTGATGCATATCCTAAAAACATGACTTTTTGGTCTTGTAATAACAACTAGCAAAGGAGATTTTTTTAAAGAAGCTACCCATCTTGTGTCAGATCTGAAATCATTAGCTGGATAGAAAAAAAAGTGTGTACCAGATGCTATAAGATGTATTTTTAAATGTGTATATTAAATTTCTTTTTTTTTTAAATTTGTAGAACGCACATGAATTCTCCCCAAATAAATATTTCAGTATCGCTAGATTAGTTTAGCAGACTCAAGAATCACATAGGCCAGAAAAGATAAGCGTCCTTTTAGGAAACCATGCAGTTTCATCACCCCTACCCCCTCCACATACAAAATAGCTGGCCCTCATTGTTGTTGATCAACATTCTCAACCTCGCTAAGTCGCATTCTTGCCAATTTGTGGCTTGGACTCCTTAAAATGTTTCTCTGTAACTATTAGTACTCCAAAACATTCACTGTCTGTTCTATTGTGTTCTACAGTACCTTGCTTGTAACTTTTACCAAAAACCATAAAAATAGGATCTCAGAAAACACAAAGAAAAATGCAATCAAATCAGCTGAAGGTCAGCACTAAACATTTCTTTTAAAACAGGGGTTTAAGTTCCAATTGCAGGTTGGATTTCTCCAGAGCAACTGTTCAGTAGAAAAAGGACATTAGAAATATATGTGTGGGGGCTCTCTTGTGCAGGGTCACACTGTTTCTTCCTGGGACCCTTCCTGTTCAATGTGTATTTGAGGTCACTAAAGGAGATTTTGAGACATTTAGGGTTGTAGTGAAATCTTAATGTAGATGGTACTCTATATACTCTATAGTCTCTATATTCTCTGTAGTCTCTTTGCTTTCCTAATATCTGGCAGGAGATTGAGGCTTGGATGAGAACAAACTGTCTGGGGCACAATCCAGAAAAGATAAAAGGATGTTGGCTGGTTGTGACAGTATGTGGCAGAGGCTTTGTCAACAGACGGCAATCTTGAAGTCCTACTGGATACATCACTGTTGCTAGGATCTTAGATAAAAGTTGTGGCCTGGAGTTCATTTCTTCATCTGTGGTTGACCAAGAAATGGCAGCCTTCTCGTACAATATCAGGGTTGGAAGGGACCTCAGGAAGTCATCTAGTCCAACCCCCTGCTCAAAAGCAGGACCAATCCCCAGTTTTTGCACCAGATCCCTAAATGGCCCCCTCAAGAGTTGACCTCACAAGCCTGGGTTTAGCAGGCCAATGCTCAAACCACTAAGCTATTCCCCCCAGCCATGCACCCCTCTCTCAAACCTCTATCACTTCCAGATTAGACTATGGCAATGTGCTTTACTTTAGGCTATCCTTCAAGACCACTGAAGAACTTCTTGATAGTGCTATATGATGCAGGGACTTAGTTTAGAAGTTGCCTGTTCCAACTGCAGAAGTCAGCTAGGGGTACTTTGGTCTTCAATTCCCAGGGTTCTTCTCTTGAAGGCTTGTAGCTGGGCAGTCTTAAAAGACAGATCCTTAGCTGTTGAATTTGGTCCTTGTTGTGGTCTGTCAGCCCAGCTTTTGCAACTTGAGAACAGAAGGTAGGGTTCATCAGTTTATACAGGCGTTTTCCCAAGTATCAATGTTTCAGTCAGGATTTTTTCCCCTAAGCAGCAGATGTGATGGCTATAAAGTTGAATATTTTATTGTTTATTATCAGCAAACATGAATATAGTTTTAAATTTAGCAAGGTGATGAGTGCCAAGTTGGCTCATATGTAAATAGCCTGTAGCTGGATTTGAGGGTTGATGAAAATGAGACATACAGATCAATTTATTTTTTCTGGACTTATGAAGGCAGACCTTCAGGGACCATGTCACTGATTACATATATTTTACACCACAAGGGACTTGATAATTCACTGCAAGGACTGCTGCTGACACTTAATATTGCCAAAACTCTTCTACTCCCAATATGTGGCTGCAGAGAAGCACTTGTGACTTCTCGTCAGTTAGGACTAGTGGTGTACAAGATGCTTTTCTTCACTTCCATTCTTTGGAAAGGCTGTATCTTTTCTTCTTTGGCCACAAGAAAACCCAATTATTATCCTTTCACCACCACTCCACACATCCCAGCTGCATGAAGGCACCAAGAGGATCTCTCCAGTCTCTAGGACTATGGTGGTTTCTTTGGCAGGATCTATATCTTATGCACCTGCAACCAGGAAAGTCACGCTGACTGTTGCAGCAGGATGTGTCCTAATCTTCTACTGGTGCGGGAGCACTGTGAAGAGAGTATTTTCAAAGCCAGATGGAAAAAGCTAGAACTGTGGCAGGAGAAAGACAGGATTGGGGAAAATAACAGACAGCATCTTCTCAGAAAAAGAGGGAGGTGGCCAAGGAAATTATGCAATCACAATAGTAACCCTTTGTTTACACAGTTATTATAGACACATATAGCAGCAAGTTGGAGTCAAAGGATGAATGTCTTTCTTCAAAGAGAATCTCCCTTTTATTATTTTTTAAAATAGGCCTAATCTCTACCCATCATGTAAACACTCCATTTGAGTGTTAGCTTAAAATATCATCAGGGGATTCAGTGTCTTTTCCTAGAGGAAATAAAATACTATCAAGCAGATAACTATGGTGCAGCTCTGTAGGAGCAAGTAGGAAAAAAAAAGATAAAACAATCAAATCAAAATGTGTGCCAGCAGACAGGGAAATTTACAAAGTAGTATCCATTTTGCTTGTTTAGAGAGGTCTGAAAATTGAGGAAACATTATTAGTGTTACTGTGAAATTCACAATAATATTTATGGGTTGTCCATCAAAGACCAATAGAGGGTCACCTCTCAAAGCCAGGAAAACATGGGCTGTCAGAAAATTCTGAGCAAATATGCCATTAAACCCCATCAAGACTGTGAGAAGCCATTCAATAAGAACCTTACACTGGCTGCGAACAAATTCATTAAAAGAGTGCGCTCAAAGTTGACACAAACAGCAATCCTTAAAAAAAAAAAAGAAAATTAATAGTCCATGTCACATGCGCCAGTAAGGAAGCACAGAACAATACCAAATCACGCAATGTGTGCACTTACTGGATAAGTGTCCTCTGGTATTTATGTCTAATTGATATTAACCTTTATTTCAACAAGCACATTTATTTCTTTGATCAATTGCTTTTACTTCTCATTTGTTTGACCAAATCTGAAAGCGTTAGTAATTTGGTCAAATTACAATTCTAAAGTATCAACTAATTCAGCCACCATAGAAGAGCCATATTTTCTCTGATCTTGCTTCCTCTTTTATCCCTAGCTATTATTAATATATCAGTTCTCTGGGGCACTAAATTATTTGATACAAAAAGTATTCTACTGATATTACACACTTAAGGTTTCTAAATCTTAACTGCAAAAAACAAAAAAAACCCAAAAACTGTCCTTAAGTGTAAGTTTGTGGAAATTGCATGCAACAGCTCACCCAACATATGACATTTGTGCTGCTGTAAACAACATGTGCAAGTTATTTTTTTAAATAAAAGCCAGCAGCTGTTTTGCTAATTTTTTTATTGTGCAACATACATTGCCAACTTACATGTATCATTTTTGTTGTTAGCTTTTAAGCTTTGCAATTCTGCAAAAAAAATGGAAAAGTATATAAACTTATATAGCACAATGCAGCACAAAACAAATGCCACAAGCTGTAGATTTTCACCTTACAGATATTCACTTATCTAACAGCTAATAAGGATTTTAGTAACTATCAGGTGTGGCAAAATAAGAAATCTCCTGCTGTAAAGACATATCAAAATATGCCAGAATTTTTTTAAAATGTTTAAAGACATCCTGCTGGCATGCTCTCTCATTTATATGGACAGAATTAAATTTCTCAATTTGCAATTGAAATTTAGGCATTTCCAAAAACTGCACTTTGATGAAAGGAAGACTTTGAACATAAACATAAATCTAACACTCTTGGTATTATTTGTATCAGAATGTAAGTTGAGCTCAGATTTCAAAATTCTTTTTATAAATACTTCTTGTCCTTCCAAATTTAGGCCCTGCTTGAATTTGTGCAAATGATTCTTTAAGCTGTCACTGCTGTTTTCACAGCAAAGTTTTTCTCTCCAAAGTAAATTAAAAATTTGCATTTTTTTCTTAAATAAAAGTTTAATGACATTTTGTTACAGCTAAATCTTCTCCCGAACTGGGACTGTCAAGATACCTAGAAAATCACAACACATAATTAAACAAATGTGTATTAAACATATTAAATGATTTATTGCAACTGACTGAAAATATAAGTCTTGAACTTTAAGACAGTGGTAAAGTAGCAGCTGAGCTACTTGGAAAACTGTGGTAGCAACAGGCTTGGCAGGATTCAATTTTTTAAAATAATTTCAGTGCATAATATTGATGTTTCTTTTTAAGCATTGTTTTAGATTTTATTGATTTAAATTTTCTCAGTTGCATGAAATTATGGGTTTAACCATTTTCCCCGTTTTTAAACATTTTAAATTTTCACAGTTGTTGGAAATTATGCGCTGGGGGAAGTCAGAATTATTTAAGCCTTATAAACTGTTAAAGCATAATTTGTCAACATCATATGTGAAAATATACAAATTAAATATTCTTATATCAACATATCACTTATTTTTACTAATCAATTGCTAGTCCATTTGCAATAAGCCTAATTCAGAAGTCTAAATCACTGGGTTTTGAGTCCAATAAGTTCTCAAGTAGTGTTTTTCTTACTTTGCCTCTCAGTAAATTTCAATTATCATTGACAAGACATTTTATTTTCATCAGGTTTGTGTGTAAACAATGAAATAAACATTTACCGATAAACTAATCCTTCTTCCAAGCCTACTTACAATGTGAAAGAAACATTTATGAGTTAAATTACATTTTCTTTTGTACTAATAATGCAATATATCAGTCAACTATTGCTTTATAAATTCTTCTTTCAAGTCGCCTGCCTTGTTACAAATTATTAGTGAAATATCATTGTCAAGTGCATAAATTATCAGGAAGGTAAATGAGAATCAGATTATGAGTTGCCATTTGACTTAGTTGTGTCCACCTAGGTTGCTGCCAACAGTTTGTTTACACTGTGATAAACGAGTCGCGTTCATTTTTATTTTACACCAGTGATATAAGCCAGTTGCAGATACAGTTGCACAGAAGAGCTTTAATGCAAGATGTACGTTATTGCATAATGCCCCTGGTTTCCAACAGAACTACTATGAAGTGCCAGATACTTCCCTTCAATTGTGTAGCCTGGAGTTGAGCAAAGAACCCAAAATGGTGCAATGTCTGATTTTCCCTTTATATCGAGCCTACCAAAAGCTTCTTCACATTAATATCATGTAGTTCTCTCACTGCAGATAATACATGGGCCTATCAGATCAAACCTGGGGAGCACTCACTATGCAGCTCTTCCTGTGGGAAAGGAGGTTTGGGGGACAGAGTCAAATTAAAAATGTAAAATCTAGTCCATTAAGTGAAAAGAAGTTTCAAGGACTGCACCTGCTCCTAAGCCCCACCGACAATTTATGATTTTATACTCATCTTTTTGCTATGTAAAAGGTTTCTCCCCAGCCACTACTGTGGGAAAGACCCACACAAATAACAGGAAAAACTGATTAACTAATTGACTGTAAATATGGGAAACAGACTATGTATAAAGAATCATCAAATGCACAAAGCAAATAAAGAGAAAAGATCAAAAAAAGATATTTTCACTGATCTTTCAGTAACAGCAATCTTGGGCATTACTTACAATAGCAGCAGGCAAAACAGTCTCAGACGGAAGTGTACTTAAGTCAACTCAGTCCTTTCTGTACTCCCTAGCGGCTGAATAATGGCCATTATTTCCCAAGGAGGAATGCAGTGGGGGAACCCCATTCCCTCTAAACAGATACTCCCAAGCCTACAGAAGCAATCTCTACAATTCCATAGGCTTCTCAGAATTTGATACATTTTCCTTTCTCCAAAAGAAACATGAATTAGGGACTCTGACATTTCCTGACTATTTTTGCCCCCTGCCCAAGTTTTCCAGAGCATGGGAAGATTTAGGTGGCAGTTACCAAGCTATTGCATAAAAGACCTGATCTAAAGTCCACTGAAGTCAATGGTCCCCAATATGCAGTATTTCCTGGTAGCTATGAAGCTAACTTGTTTCACTTCTGTGCATTTTAAGTTCTATACAGTTTTTAAAAATCAAGATGACTTTTTTGTGAAAAATAGTAATCAGCCAAAATGTGGCTGTCAACCACTATATTCAGGAGACAGCTTGCAGCCTATGTCCACTTGTATTAATAATCTGTAAAATATATACAGAAATATTTACCTTTTAAAAATTATGTATCAGCTCATCAAAAGGATTTTATTTGAAGTGATTGCTCACCCCGAAATAAATATAATTACACGAATATAAGAGATTGCACAGACACACCACATGGTTTAAACTTTCTTTAGAGTCTTTTGGACAAAAGATAACCATTCCATGATGGTGGTTTTTCAATGACAATACACATTTTAAGTAACCTACCTGAATAGTCTCAACAAAGGTATCCAAAAATTTAATAGGAATTTAAAATTTAGTTCTTATACAACATAATACTTGCTTTCATACATGAAATATTCTTGCTGACCTTTCAGAAATCAAATTTCAAAGGACTTTAAAGCATTCATTAATTTATCCATAATAGAGATTTTATAACAGATACTTGTGATCTGAAACAAAAATTTAGCATGATTGATCTGCTTCTAAATTTGCATTAACCTTCCATTTCAAATCCATAAAACACTGCTACATTGGGGAATGTCATTGTATGAAAGTGATTCCGAAGTTGAATTCTTCGTGATGACTGGAGTAACAAATTGAGAAATTTTGCTAGAGAAGAGTTTAAAGGAAATGAAGGGATTTTACCATTTTATCTATAAATAAAGAAAAAAGTTTTGTTGCAGTCATTATTTTGGCAGATTCTATACAAGATTCTGTGATTAATTTTATTTAAACATAACTCTCATAATGATTTAAACTAAGGGTATGTAATAAAAATGGAGAGGATCAAAGGCTGACAGTTCTAATATAGAACTTGCACAATAATCACCTTTAACACTGACTAAACAAGGAATGACAAACAGGATTAGAAACTAGACATTTTTAAATGAAGAAACTTTGTTGCAGATTTTAACTGTTTTTCTAAGAAGGTCAGTTTTAACTTTCAGTATGCAATTCAATACTTTATCTGCAACATGTAGTATAAAGTGTACAAGTCATCACAGCAAAATTTACATAATAATTGGCTTTGGCTATGGTCTTATATAGACCTATTTACAAATCTGGGATAAGTAAACATCTGTTTACCTTTAAGTTCTATACATATGTTCAAACTTTAAACCTGTTTCAAATCAAATCCTGCAAGATAAAAGTCTTAAATATACATCTTAAACCATTACTGTACTGCAGCATGTGTATATATATTAATATTCCCATGGACCTGTTAAATTCTCCATTGATAGCTATGCACCACATGGAAGATTTTAGAAAAAAATCAAAGATATTCTCCAACTCCTTTGTTTCCAGAATTAACACCTTGGTGCCAGTGACTTTGGATTGCCATAAGCGGCTATTAGACTGGGAAAAATGTAGCTCCTGGTGCAAAAAGGACTGATGTGCCTCAAAGTGGTCCAAAATTTGGGGTGCAACTTATCCTCTTATTAAGAGAGGGATACCTTTTTACATAAATATAGTTGAGTAACTGCAAGTATTTTTGTCATCTCCAATAATCAAGCTCTACATGCCTCCCTACCTCGTTCTTTGGAATTTGTGTCATGAATGCACACCCCAAATATTGTATAAATTTTGGTTAGAAATCTTAATTAATTTGCAGTGGTGGTTCCTCACATGCCCATTGTCAACAGATTGTGCTCTTTGACAAACTGACCCCAATACCGAAGAGTTAATATTGTTGTTGCACTCCTGAAACAACTCAAGAGTATAGCTAGTGTTTATGAGTCCAACAGTTTGTTTTACAATTCTACAACTGAGATAGAATAATTTTTCTCCAGTTTAAAACCTACCTCAGAACCAATATGAATAAAGAAGACAGTTATTCCCGTGACTCCTACAATTTCCAAAGCACTGTTTAGTTCATAATTAAATTTAAAAGAAAAACGATGTACATCTGCAAACAAGTACACAACTTTTTACAAAAGGCCTCTTTGTGATAAATTATCTAAAATATAGAGTTCTCATTTTCCTTAAAGTGCTATCATCATCAATATTGATTCAAAACCATCTATTGTTTCAAGAGGTCTTTTAGTACAGCACCAGCACTGGCATCAGGCAGCACTGGCAGTGGTGTAAAAGTAGGCAAGGCATCAGAAATAGGTTTCATAAGCAGATGCCCCGATCCACCTGCTCCAAGAGAAGTGGGGGTGATGAGGGGCACTGCTGCAGATCGGGGTGCCAAGAATGGATTCACATCTGGTCTTCTACTGGTTCCTGAGCCTGTAGTTTCTGAGATTTAAAAAAAACAAAAACAAAAAACAAACAAACAAAACAAAAACAAAAAAAATCACGTTAGAAAACATTCACAATCCACCAATTTTCAACACATATGTGTAGAAAGCAGCTGGCTTTCAACTGGCTCCTCCTCCTCCATTGCATCAAATTGAATCTTCTTGCCCTACACTTCAAGGCCTTTCACAACTCTGCATCCTCTCAACTTATCTGCTTTATTATTACATCCCAATGGTAAAATTATACCAGCTTTGATTGCCCATGTATCAACTTCTCACAATCTGCCCCTCTTATACAAAACTCCTGCCCATACTAGCTTGTGTTCAAGTAATTTCAAATTCAGTATAAAAATTCTCTCAGTCCCAGATAAAACTAGGGCCCTACCAAATTCATAGCTATGAAAAATGTATCACGGACTGTGAAATCTGATCTCCCCCATGAAATCTGTCTAGTGGAGTGGAGTGGCAGGGCTGGGGGCTCCTACTGTGCATCAGGCTCCAGCTGCTAGTCCCAGCTGGGCTGGGGAGGGATGAGACCACTCCTGGGGCTGGGTCAGACCCACCTCCGGGAACCCCCCCAGCCGCAGGAAGCTCCATGGCTGCTGGCTGGGAGCCCAGCTCTGAAAGCAGCACCATCACCAGCAGTAGCACAGACGTGAGGGTGGCATGGTATGGAACTGCCACCCTTTCTTCTGCGTCCCCGCCAGTAGCGGTACAGAAGCGAGGGTGGCAATACCGTGAGGCCCCCTACAATAGTACACCACACCATGCCACCTTTCCTTCTGTGCTGCTGCTGGCGGCGGCACTGCCTGCAGAGCTGGGGGCCCAGCCAGCAGCCGCTGCTTTCCAGCTGCCCAGCTCTGAAAGCAGTGCCACCATGAGTAGTGCAGAAGTAAGGGTGGAAATAACGCAAGCGCTCTCCTCCTCCCCCGCCCAATAAATAGCCTTGCGACCCCACCCATGATCCGCTTTTGTGTCAGGATCCCCAAGGTTACAACACTTACATTTCAGATTTAAATATCTGAAACCGTGACGTTTATGATTTTTAAAATCCTATGACCCTGAAATTGACCAAAATGGACTGTGAATTTGGTAGGGCCCTAGATATAACCTATGTTTTTCTTTTGAGTTCAAATATCAGAAGAGGAAGCAGACAAAAATAATCAGGTTTATAGTGGAAACTAAGTTGCTACTGCCACTCCATAATAATTCAATAGGTTTTTTTTTTTTTTTAAAAAGAAGATCTTTTACCACACAACTGGCTCAAACTCCTATAAATACAGCAAGGCTACTCAAGTCCTTTTGCATTGGTATGGGATTTACATCCTTATCTTATGCTTCTTCCATATGGTTTATCTCTAGCAACTGAAAACTTAGATACCAAAACAATTAAGGGATATAGGATGGGTGTCTCGTTTTATAAGGGAACAATATGGTTCCTGAATGAATAAAGTACCTCAGAACTTAGGTCTTCCATACGATGAAAATGGGCTTTTGCCAAATAAAATAGGGTACCCTGCCTATTATAAATGACAAGAGTACAAAGAAATATGAGACCTAATTTAGCTTTACTGAAAATATTACTTTCAGAGATAAGCTGGTAGGACAAATTGGAAATTCATTCTTTATGTTTCTCCAATTTACTTGTAGCATGAAACAGTTATTTAAAACTTAATATTGCAGCTTACAGTTGTTGAAGTTTTAATTTAAAAAGGTTCTATGATCAGCAACAGTTGGCATCTAAAGATGAAGTCCTAAAAAGCATATTAAAAAAAATCATTCCATATGCAAAACTCTGATTAATTAAATTAAGGACTTGATCCTACAAGGTGCTGAGGATCCTAAACATATATAACTCAGCAGCATGTGCTCAGTGTCTTACAGGATCAGAATCTAAAGGAAAGTCAATTGATATTTTTGCACATACCTGCTAGGAAGTATTTCAAGCACAGGCATAATTGTTCAAGTATTCTGACTTTACCAACGTGGAGAACAAATTAGAGATCCTTTCTCAGATCAAAAATCAATCTCAGATTGTTTAAAAATGTGAGCTAATCTGCTAGTTTTAGCCTAATACTTAGGAAGTGAACTGGTGTTACACATCACAAACCACCACAAGCTTGGCGTTGTTAGCTCTATGAGACCCAGGCTGAACAGCAGGGATGCTCCAAATCAGGACTAGAGCACAGACATAACCACATGCAGGGAAGATTAACCACCATCTGTCTGGCTCTAGTGCTGGCTCTCACCATCAAAAGCAATATATTCACTCAGAGATTAAGGGGACTTTTGGGGGGATGGGGGAAGGGAGAAACAGAATTTCAAAGTGGTCTAAAGGAGCTAGGAGCTTAACTCCCATATGCCCTTTAGAATATCCAATCAGAATGAAAGGACGGAAGGATGGACGGACACACACACAGAGTCTCTCCCTCTCCCTTTAAAGTTTAACACAGAACTTCAAAATTTTCCACCAAGATATGCTGTTACCTGTAAGGCTGCTGGATCTGGTACTGTTAGGATTACAAATTCCTGTTGCTCCTAAAGGTTTCATGTCGTGAACAGAGAGTGTGGGTAGGGGAAGGTTTGGACGTGATTCTGTTTCGAGGAACTTCACAAACAGTTCTGAAAAGGACTAGAAAGAACATGCCCACTAATTAGAACATTTTCAATAATTTTATGGGTACACTAAGGAACATAATTTTCTTTAATTAGTAACTGCTTCGGGGCCAGGATTTAGAAAGTATGACTGGTCCCGAAAAGATTTTTACTGGGCTACTAGAATTTTTCTAGTCCTAAGGTCACGAGAAATCAGACCTTAACATGTGGTGATCATGGAATTTATTTAAAAAATTATCAGTTAACCTTCAGTGACACAGCAAAAATATAATTTAAAACTTTAATAATTTCAAAGGTAACATTTGTACCTCCACCATCAAAGTCTGATTGTTTCTTGAATCCCATGCTGCTACTGACATCATAAGCAGAAGAACATGGACACAGGAACATTGTCACTCAAGTTACAACAGCTTAATAAAGAGGAGAAAATGCCAGATTTTTTTTTTTTAAAAGGCCATTACTTTCTCCACTTTGTTTACCTGAGACACTATGCCATGGCAATGGGAACAGGAACTGTTTATGATGTCAGCAAGAGCATCAGACTCAGACTTTGCTAGGAGAACAAGCACTGCAGATACAAAATTATTAACTTTCCTCTTTATGCCTGTGAAGCTACTGAGTCAATTTTTATAATTAGCAAACACACTAGAAAAAACATTTTCTAAATTAAATTAATTGACATCTATACCTTAAAAATCACAACTCTGGCTGGTGACTTACTTTACTACTCCACTTCATTGCTTGGGTCATTTTAGTAGCCAGTATCCTCCCATAACCTTACAGTTAGAGATTAATGCTTTACATCAATTCTCCAACATTTTTATTCTGTGGAACAGTGAACAAAAAACAACCCGAAAAACATCCCATTCTGCCGACCACCAAGGCCGGCTCCATTCTACTGTGTCAGAATCACCACTTTATACAACTTGAAAAGTGGCTGCTTTCTCAAGAACTTCTGAACCTAAGACCAATGATGTACAGCACAGAAAAGCTAGGAATTCCAGTTAAATTTCGAGTTAAAATTGAAAGGACGGTGGGGGGGCACTTGGGGAAAGGGAAGGACAAAATTGTAATCAAAGTATGATTTCATGGTCTGATATCCTGCAGCCTGCTGAAAAAACTCCCAGCTTTCAAACATATTTAGCCTCTAACTCTGAAGGTCCACACAATAAAGGTCCCTGGTGGACAATGGTGTCATCAGTCCCTAGAAGAGCTGTAATATTTTGGTAGTAGCCCAGCACTTAGCACGGACCTCAGGCCAATATGATTTTTAACCTTCTATTTATTACTCATTTAAAAAAAGGTTGGAAAACAAAGTAGTTGCACTAACCACGCAAGTAATTCAAGATCTGTTATCAATAAAACCAACATTAAATCAAGACCAAAATACCAAAACTAAAAATGTTAGCATTTATATGTAACTGTCATGGTTTTTGCATTAAAATGCAGAGAACTGTATAATTAATCCTTACGCTACTGAAAACCGATTGATTAGTTGGTCTTATAGGTGTGCTCGGGACACTCTTTGATCCAGCTCCTCCTCCACCGAGCCAACCAGTCACCCATCTTGTAACACCTTTTTGGTCTTCAGACAATAACTAGAGAGAATTTTTTTAAAAAAAGAGAAATGCTGAAACAAAGAAAAAACAGCAAAACCAACCAACAAAAAGCAAACAAAACAATCAGCTTATGGCCTGGCTCCCTTACATTTGCTCACAAATGGCAAAGGGAACTGATCCAGATCATCCTACTGATGAACAGCGAACCCTTATTTACTGACAAAAGCTTGAAAACTGTTCTCCACCTCTCTGAAATATCCTCCTGATCTAAAATCCTGTTATGCATAAAACCATTGTTTAAATAAGCCTGTATATATGAGTTAAACTAGTTTGACTAACTGAAGTAAACATTCTGAGACTGTCATATTACAGCTACTGTACTAGCAACCAAGTGAAGCTCTTTCCTTCCACTACATCAACATCCATCAGAGAAAATGACATCCTGCATCTATTATTCTATTAAAATCATCACAAGATCCAGTAGGATCAGCATGCCCCTCTTTAAGAATGAGCACAGATGAAAGGCCAAATTTTTTATTTTCCATAAACATTGCTTCGCCTTGACATTTAACGTAGCAGCAGAAAACAACAACATTCTGTTTTACTAACATCACAAATATATGTCAAATGAAAGAGGAAGTCTAGTTTTTAATGCAGTATTACCTGATCTAGCTCTTCCTTTTTGATCCCCAAAATACTTCCCATTAACCTTAAGACTTCATGACGCTTATTCTTTGGAGTATGAAAATGCCCAATGAAGAGATTTCTCATCAAGACCCTACAAAAATGAAGAGAAAGAGCTAATTAATCCATTCAGCTTTTACAGAACTCAAGGCGTCAAAATATTAACATATTAATCCTTATTCCTGAAATGATTTCACATACTCTTTTCTAATTTATCATCATGATACACCAAAGTCAAAATGTATGATTCAAGAAATAAATGGGAACCTCACAAATTTCCTTTAAGCTCCCAAAACACTTCCTATACTGTGGGTTATAATTTGGAGACGCTTGCAAACGGCATTATCTACGGAGACTGAGGGAACAATAATTCACATGCTGAGGAAGTGATATATTTCATGGAGATGGAGCGAGAAAGAGAGACTGAAAATTCCACTGAAACTAAACTGAAGTTGCATGAGTTAGCTTTGACGTAAACTGGACAATCTGGTAAAACGTTCATTCGTTCGAGTAGGAAATCATCCCTGCCTACGATAGCATGTAAACAAGAAGCGAAGTACTGTCTTGAACCAGTCCTAAGGGAGGAAACAGTAGTGTGGCTATAGTTTTAATATCAATTCTAAGAGAGGGGAACCAAATGAGAGTCTGATATCCAGATGATACCAGCTATGTGAGAAGGCCCTATACAGATTACAATGTATATGCATTGAACTACAGATGGAAAGTAAAGAAATTAGAGTCAAACTAGAATTATAAATAAGCATCTATAATGCTAATTTTGTTTAGACAAACATTTTAATTTCAATTTTCAAAACTAATCTTTAAAATGACTGTAAAATGGAAAATATCATGTATTCACTATTTTTTGAAAGATTTTATGCAGAAACCTAATTCTACACCACGACTACTATTCTTATGCTGTTATTGTAGTTTTAAGAAGGGATGTATAGGATGAAGAGCAAAGAAATTATAAATACACCAATTAAAGAGAGTCACTTACTTGTCCACTTTCCCTTCTGTGCTGTTTATAAGGTTCATTAGTTTGTTTTGTGCATCTTCTAACATTTCTTGTTTGAGCTCACCTAGAGAATTAATATGTAATTTCACTGTAAATTAACTAAAATAGAAGATTTTAAGATAATGTACACTTCAACGTCATATACACGTTTATGTTTTCAAATAAAATGCATCAATATTATTAAAATAAGCTTTTTTTTAAAATAAAGATGTATTTGGAAAGTGTTCACTTAATAAGGTATTTAATATTTTAATATGAGCTAAAATACCCAGCACATTCAGTGCAAAGTGAGCCAAAGCACAGACAGCAGCTCATTCAGTTAAAAAGCTCAGAATTGTGGGCATCAAAGTTTGGAGATCTGCGGAGTGCGCTTGAAGCTACCGAGAGAGATCATGGGGCATCTATTCTGACCTGCTGGATGTCCCTGCCAGTGAAATTTAACTGTTTGAAGAAAATTGCATTTGCAATGCTTTCAGCATCTGGATCCACATACTTGTGTGAACAGGTATTTTCACACATGAAATCTGTCTTCTGTCCCTCTCGGAGCCGGTTAACAACTGATCACTTAGAAGCCTGTGTGCAGCTTAAAGTATCCAAATACACGCCAGACATTGGAAAACTCAGCAAGGGCAAGGATCACACTAAATTGATAAGATCTGCATTTTAATTTAATTTTAAATGAAGCTTCTTAAATATTTTAAAAATCTTATTTACTTTACATACAACAATAGTTTAGTTATATATTATAGACTGATAGAAAGATACCTTCTAAAAACGTTAAAATGCATTATTGGCACGCGAAACCTTAAATTAGAGTGAATAAATGAAGACTCGGCACACCACTTCTGAAAGGTTGCCGACCCCTGAACTAAAAGGTATTTCCAGGGTAGTATCAGATGCTAAACGGTAGTGTTAAATGCTAAACTATGGTGGTTTCTTTTCCTATCATCATCCTGGCAAATCCCAAAGGAAAATGGCCTCTTTGCAGTTTGAACACCACCTGGATCAATCTTTGTCTAGTTTACATTTGTCACCAACATGCAGGATACGGGAATGGCCCTTTCAGAAGGTTTCATTAGTCAGTTTCACCTCAGTGGCAGAGAATCCCTTAGCCATTTCAGCTACATGGACAATTGCCTAGATTATACTGAAGCTGACCACCTTGACAAACACCCTCATGACATGAACGACCCTGGAGAGGTCTTCTCCCCTGACTAGGGTTAAAATGATTGCCAAGTTTGGATTTTGCAAGACATATTCCCTCAGGGTTACATTCACCCTAAAGCAAAGGGCAGGTACAAATATCTATGTACCACATATAAGGCTTAACTGGGACACAGGAGCTTCGTGCAGAGCTTCTGTGGTAAAATGGATTTCACTCTCAAATAAACTAACACTAACAGAGACCAGGAGCTTTTCCTTCCCTTCCTCTGCAGAGTTGAGTGGCTATCATCTTCAATCCTGTAGGAAATGTCTGTCAAGTTAATCTACCCTTCCAGAAGGTTCCCCCACTCATGTGTATGTGTCAGAATTTCAAATTATACTTGTAAATTTTAAGTAAACTTTTTAAATTTAAATCCAATATTCTCTGTATTAAGAAGCTGACCATAAGATATGGACATCTACTAGCCCCAATCACTAAAATATGTAAGTAGAATTCCTATGAAGAACTATCAATAAGTAAATATGTATTTGCGGGATAACTTCATTTACCTTTTTTGTAACAAATCATCTGACATACATGGAAAAACACGTCACTCTAATTTCCACATGGCTTGTAATCCTTTGTAATATTCAGCCCACAATCATGTTGGCACAGTGGGGTTTTCTCAATTAACAGTAATAACTCCCATGCCACCCTCAGCAGGACTTTCTATATACATCAAAGAGCTTAGCTGTGAAACTGATATGTTCTAATGTATCCTGTTTGAGAACTCCAAGTATAACTGTAATAATTTTGCTTCACAAACTGAATTTTATAGAATACAGAGCGGAAGGAAAGTAACTAGTGTAATGCTGGGAAAATCATACTCTAGGGGCATAAGGATTAAGCTTTTTATTCAAAACAAAAACTGTTCTATACACTATTTATAGATTGATTGCTCTCTCTTTGCAATTGCACACACCCCTCTAATAATCAGATTTATTATTGTACATCAGTATCAATTACACTCTGAATACAAGGGTATATTGAGAAATCCCGCATATTAGCATTAACTTTGAGGGTGCGATGAGATCAGAAAACCATCCTGATGCGTAAAGTGCCAAAGAATGGCTGCTTAAATACAAAAACACACTTGAAAATTACAAAAGTTTTGCAAATCCTAGACATTAAAGGGCGTGGGGGAGAGAAAAATCACATTGATTTTAAAATCAAGGTTTTAAAGATATAAATTAGCATGTATATAAAATAACTTAATATGTGGGATTCCCCAAGACCAAAGTTTAAAGGAAGAAATTTTAAGAAAAGATGACAGCTCTGGGGGGCCTATATATGTTAGTTGATATGGTATGTTGTGTAGGTCTTTCAGAGAGCAACAGGGAAGAGAAAATAGTTTTAAAAAATGGGAAAATGTGATTAGAAAACCAAAAAATTGACAAGGAAACTCAGGAGCAGATGTAGTATCTGAAAGTACCTTTTAACAGCTCCCCTCCCTTTTTTAAAAAAAACTGATCATATTTCAACTTAATGATGTTGCTTTAGCCTACACTATTTTTCAACTGACCATCTCAAAATTTATTCCTCATAGTCAATACAAACATTACCAATACATTTTTAAAGTGAAAATATTCTTGCTAAATATATTATTCTACTTTTGCCAAAACATTTATTCTATCATGAGCTCATTAAGGGTCACTTTAATGGCTATATTCCATCATAAGTTTAAAAAGGGTCAATCTACTCTCATTTGTAGAGTGAATAAACAGTTTTCTAATCAGTCCACATCTCAGAAATATATTTCCTTCTAAAGTATTGTGACATCACAAGTATAATTTCACAGTTGAATACAATTTAATCATTTACTTCATGGGTATGAAAAGAGTGCATAGCAGACGAGACCGGAGACAAAATTCAGCATGGATTGCTGTAAATGAGACATTTATGACAGTCTCCAATAATTTGTTAACCATTTATGGCAAATCAAAAAACTGCATCTGGTACGTCTTATATTTTCCCATTAAATATCAGTTCTACTGCCAAAAAAATCCATAAAGAAATTCTTCAAAAGATTTGGCCAAAAAAGCTGCGTCTGGGAATGTATCTGGCCCATTTTCAACAGGACATCATATGTTGTCTTGAATATATAACATGTTAAAAACCTGAGAGCCTTTTCTGAGAAAAAAAAAATCTACTATTTGATAGATACTTGTAACCAAGTGAAATGTTGTTTCCCTTATGCATCAAGTTTTTAAATTAAACTGCTTACATCACATTAAGCAAGACAAGGTAGGTGAGGTAGTGTCTTCAATTGGAGCAACTTCTGTGGGTGGACGAGACAAGCTTTTGAGTTACACAGAGCTCTTCCTGAGATCTGAATATTTCCTCATTCACCTTGTCTCTCATATCCTGGGACAAAGATGGCTAAAACAACACTGCAAATATCACATTATTGTTTTAAACCATACTAAGATCCAACCTTACCTCTAAGTTCAAACCTACTGAGGCCTACCAACCTTCCCACCATCACAATCACCAAATGCAAAAATATGGGACTCAGTTCACTCTGGCATGAGCACACCCTCTCACAAAAGAGATGGAGTTTTGTCTGCTTACACCAAGGTTCAATTTAGTCCTTGGTGTCAGGAAGAGTTTCACAGGAAACGACTATACTGAAACCAAGCTATACAGATGGTTCAACTCACTAAAAAAGATAACTAGCTGCACATTCATGTCGCGGCTTGATGTTTAATTTACGTTGTAGAAGTCATATGTGAACTAGGGAAAATACCCCAAACTTTGCCCATGGGAAGCCAAAGTTTTGCACACACAACTGGAATTTGAGTAAACACTCATTCAATCAACTAGTAAGAGTCACAGCTTTTCTGGAGAATTGTTGCTGAAACAGTTGAGAGTTGCCAAATTACTTTGCACCCTTACTTCCTCTCTGACCCCAAGCTTTCCTATCTGTTTGCTTTAAAAGGAAAAGTTTGTTTTAAGAGACAAGAATGAGTTGATCAATGCAGATGAGGAACAAAAAAATAAAAACACCAAAAAAGTTTTAAAATGAACGGTAGGAATCAGATGAATATGTTCATTGCTCAACAGCAGAAGCTACCATTACAGGGGGCAATGAGACACTCTGGGCTCCTTTCCCCAGGGAAAGAAGGATCCCTCAATAATTTCCCTTTGACAGGGGGAAGAGAATGAACAGAAACCAAGAGCTGCTAGTGACTGCAGGGCACAAGTGACCCTTTGCCATCCCCTCATCTTCAGACACTAATTAACATGGACACCTTCTGGCTCTCTTCCTACTCCCAGATCCTCATATCAAGCCTGAATCCATGCAGTGGACTGGGTAGGTTGAAAGCAAGGCATGCAAGTGGAGTAATGGCAAAGCAGGTTGGACTAGGTCACCTAAATGGGGGGCAGAAGGAGGGATAGTCAGGAGAGCGAAGGAGAAGAGAAGGAAAAGGTAACAAGACAGGTGCAGAACATCCCCTCATGCCTGGAAAAAAGGGTTTAAAACTTGGCTAGATTATTTAACAAGCTCAGTACTCTTAATTATTTGTGGGTATTTCAGATCACAAAACCACCATAAAATGTGAGGCAATAGCATAACTGTAAATCTTGCCTCAAGAAAGGAACATGACTAAATTAGAAGAGATAACAAGTCAGGACTGGGTTATATTGACAGAACTGTGTAGGAGAGCTAGCACAACGTTTGATGCTCTCAGACCACTCTGATGACAACTACAATGAATTCAACAATAAAAATAAAACAAATCCAAAGTTCTCCATATAGCCATTATTTGAATTGCATCAAAGGCATCTGTTTTAAAACTAATATTCTCGCAATCTAACCTTACTGATGTTTGCCATATACAAATACCTAAATTTTCACA